AGGGAAAGGCAGGGGGAACCCAATCCTCTCTCTCCCTCTCTCTCTCTCTCTCTCTCTCTCTTTCTCTCACGCCAATCCATGAAAATGCTTTGGAAACTGACGGATAATATCAAGTATGAGGAATGTGAGGTAAGCGCTTCCCCCGGCCGGGGCAGAGCCCCCGGCCTCGCAGCTGCGAGCGGGAGCCTGCAGCATCCCTCCGGCTCTCAATTTCGTTTAGGAAAACTTCTGCTCCTTCGCCAGGCTTCCTTGCGGTCCTGCAGCTGGCGAGGGGCTGGGGTCCTTCCCCAGGAACTTCGGGGCTGCTGGAAACCCGGCTTTGTCGGAAGTGTACGAGGACAGGCAAAGAGGATCCAGCAGCAGGCTGGTCTATAGGTAGATCCTCCGTAGATAAGGCTCTGTAGGATGCTACACTCATCCATATGGATGGACGGATAGATGGATGGATGGATGGCTGAGTGAACGGAGGGATGAATGAGTGAATGAAAGGGCAAAGAGACAAAGGGAAGAGAATTATTCTTACACGCCAGGTACCCGAGGCATCCCAATAAATTGGCTCAGGACCGACGCTTAAATTCAGCCTTTTCGATGTAGCTGCGGGTTGATCATACCGAGCCGCACAAATTTGCAGGGGTCAGCTGCCGAACTGAAACCACGGCTTTGGGAGAGGTGTTCCCTCAGCCTCCTAATTTTCAGGGCCACACTCCCACGGCTTTGAGCAATATTTTAACCGCCTGGAAAAAATTAAAACCCACCTCATTTGGTTTTGGAGCCGTTCCGCACAGATTGCGTGCGCGCATCTCTCTGTGTGTCTCTGTGTGTGTGCCTCCATATTTTTAGAAAGAGGCGAGTGTCTTTTAATCTGACAAAAAGGAGAAGAGGAAAAAGAAGAGCGACGCCCAGGACCCGTGCCTAGTCTCAAACCAACGAATACCATTGTCACCCGTTTCGCAAAAGTTGCCTGTGCAGTGGGTTCAAACCGCGCAATAAAGGACTCCGCTTGGCAAATGAACGCAGTTATTTGGTGGTGACCCACGCGGGAAGGGAGCCCCAGCCCCGGCGGAGCCTTGCCGACGTGCACGTCTGGGGCGAAGGCGGGGGGCCGTGCTCCCGTCCGACCCTGCCGCTGCTTTCGGGCGATGCTGTAGCTTAGGAAAGGGAGCGAGGACTCGGCAGACTCACCGCCGGCTAAATGATGCGGGGGTTTAGTCCCGGATCGAGGAGTTTGGGATAAAGCTGTCTCCCGGGGTGGGAGCTGAGCTCTTAGACCCACTCGCTGGCGGATGCTTGATTTCTAGGAATGAGGTGTCGGGGTGGTGTTTTATATATATATGGTTTTTTAAGCCGGAAAAACATAACACATATATTCCTCAGCTGGATTTCGGGAGGAAAGCGTGTCTCTCCCCCTCCCTCCCCCCAGGATCGGTGTTCAAGCGTGCACACGTGCGAGCGTGTGGGTTTCATCGCCGATGGCTTTTGTCGCCTTGTGCTAACGGGACTTTGCGCCCAGGTGCTACCGAAGGCGGAGGGAGCGGCGGGGGCTCCCCCGGAGCCCGCCGGCTTTTGTGCCGGCGTGCGCGGCCGGCTCTCCGCCTTTTCCTCGGGAGCGGCTGCGGGGGGGAGCGGCGGGGGCTCCCCCGGAGCCCGCCGGCTTTTGTGCCGGCGTGCGCGGCCGGCTCTCCGCCTTTTCCTCGGGAGCGGCTGCGAGGTGGCTTGCAGAGAGGACGGAACAGAGGGTGGCCGTACCCTGACGGGGACAGGACCTGCCT